AGCAGAGGCGGCAGCTGCGAAGCTGTCAGAGGCGAGGGCTGCGAGGGAGAGCAGACGCATCTTGGCCTCGCACTCGTCATGGCTCAGACCTGCGAGGGAGGTGGGAGAGGCGAGGAGGGAAGAGGCAGGAGGCCGGAGGGCGGAGGAAGGCAGAAAGAAGTTAGGAGGGAGAAGGTAGCAGGGAGGGAGGATGGAGGATGGAGGAAGGCGAAAAGAGAATGTGAAGAAAGAGGGCGGCGGGGAGGGAGAGGGGAAGGGGACATTCCTGAATGAAGACAGACAGTGAGAGCAGGCAGCGAGAACAAGCATGCATGCAATCCAGGGCATGTTGAATTCGCTTTTAAGAATTCTCAAAGGCGCGACAACAAGTATGCATGCATGCATGCAATCCAGGGCACCAAACAAGCACGCACACACGCACGCCTGTACACCCCGTACCGTAGGTTTCGAGTGCGGTGGGGTTGGCCTGGACAAACGCATGGAACTGCGGCAGGCGCTCCTTGAGAAACACGCAGAGCAGCGCGTGCAGGGGAGCGTGCTCGGGCACAGACGCCAAGTGCTGCACGGCGGGGAGGTCCAGCAGGTCGCTCTGGAAGGCGTCGGGCGTGCGGATGAAGTCGATGGCTGCCTGCGCCGCTGCCTGCTGCGCTGCTGGGGACGCTGCTGCCTCGGCTGCTGTGAAGAGCGACAGGTACTTGATCGTGAACGCACTCGCGTCCTTCGCTCCCCTATTGTGCGGAGAAGGGGAGCGGAGAGACGGAGGGATGGGGTGGAGGGAGGGATATAGCGAAATAGGTCATTCAGTTACCCTACACTGCTACTATCTCTTTCCGCCAGAGGCCTGCAAACAAGGGCCATCCATCCCCTTGGTATATGCCTCATACCCCGTATTGGACTCCTGCAGGAGCGCGCACAGCTCCCTGACCTCCTACATTCCTTCCCTCCTTCTCCGCCCACATTCCCCCTCTCCCCCCAAAACTCCTCTTCTTCCACCTCTCAACCTGAGAAGGCCATTCCAGCCCCTGCATCCATGGTCCTACATCCACCTTTGCGCATCCTCAAAGAATGCCCCTTCCATCAATTCATGTATCTACCGCTCCATCCATCAGTCCGCAAATCAGTTTATTGCCCCACCCCCCCCCTGACGCGCTCACCCCTTGGTGTCCTGCAGCAGCGCGGCGAGCGCGAGGTAGAGGTCCTTGAGCTCCTCCTTGTCCACTGCGTGTTGAGAGTCAACTCAAAGCACTACCTCAAGAATGACCCCATGCAGCCATGCCATCCACCCAACTCAACCACCCATCCATGCATGCATCAATGCATGCATCCATTTATCCATCCATCAGTCCAATCCCTCCCCTCCCTCCTCCCCCCACCCCCTTCCCCCGCGCGCTCACCCCTTGGTGTCCTGCAGCAGCGCGCTGAGCGCGAGGTAGAGCTCCTTGAGCTCCTCCTTGTCCACGGCGCCGCCCCACTCGCGGAAGCACGCGGAAGAGAAGCGCCGCGCCAGCGGCAGCATCAGCTCCTGCTGCTTGGCGGCCAGCGCCAGGCGCAGCGCCGCCGCGAACACCACGTAGCGCGCGCGCGGACACGCGACGAGCGCGTTGTACAGGAAGACGAGGCTGGCGCATGGGGGCGCGCGGGGGGGGACGGGGGGGGACGAGGGGGAGGGGAGGAACGGGGGGAGAGCGGGGAGAGGAAGGGGGGGATGGGGAAAGCGGGGTTTGGGAGTTAGAAATGAGGGGAAGAGGGGGAAGAGGGGTAAAGAGAGGATGGGTCAGGGGAAGCTCGTGCGGGGGGAGGTGCTAAGGGTGAATACATGAAGACCGCGTGAGGGAGGGAAGGGACCGGAGCAGAAGGGAAAAGAGGGGGAAAGGGAGGAAGGAGAAGGTTGAAGACATGTATGAAACCGTGTGTGTTGAGGGGCCTAAAATAGTGATGTGAACGGTGCTCACACCCCCTTTCACGCCGCTCTCCCTCCGCATTCCCCCCGCAGCTCCTCCCACTAGCTGCATAAAAGTATCAGGCCCTTTTTTCACTCCATCCTCCTGCGTATCCGCTGCTGTTCCTCTCTGTCATCCAGTCCCAAACCCGTCTCCCATCTGCCCCCATATCGCTCTTAACCGCTGTCTACTCCGCCGCACCTTTCTCATCTGTAACGCCCTTCCCCTTCCCCATTTCCCCTCGTTTCCGCATTTCCCCACCCTCTCCCTGACGCGCTAATCCCCGCCCTCTCCCCGCCCCCCCTCTCCCCGTCCTCTCCCCGTCCTCTCCCCGCCAGGCCTCCCCATGCGCGCCCTCTCCACCCCTGCGCGCGCGCGCCTACATTTTGAGTTTGAGCGCGGGCTTGTCGGCAGGCGCCATGAGCAGCTTGGTGGCGAGCTGGCTGGCGAGCGCCTCGACCTGCTCCTTGCTGTCCGCCTTGGGAATCACACTCACGATGAACGTGAACGCGCCCTCCACGTCTGCGCGCGGGGGAGGGGGAAGCGGGAAACGGGGCCGGAGGGGGTGGGGGGAGAGGCGGAGCGGGAGGTGGGAAGGGGACGGAGAGCGGGAGGAGGCAGAATGAATCTGGTTCCATGTCAGAACTACAAAGTCCGGGAAAGCGGAAGAGAGGGGAGGGGAGGGAAGAAGCAGAAAGATGGATCCCCGGTGCAGTTTGGTGGCAAGCTGGCTGGCGAGCGCCTCGACCTGCTCCTTGCTGTCCGCCTTGGGGATCACACTCGCGTTGAACGTGAACGCGCCCTCCACGTCTGCGCGCGGGGGAAACGGGGAAGCGGGGTGAGGGGGAGGAGGAGGCGGAGGCGGAGGCGGGAAGGGGAGGGGAGGGGATGGGAAGACTCATACTGGTGTTTCCTGATGGGACTAGATTACGAGGCCGAGATGGGAAGAGGACGGGAGAAGAGGGAGGGGGTGGGGGGGGAAAGGGGAGGGGGGGGGAGGGAGAAGAAGGGGAGAAATGGATCCCGGTTCAGATGGCGACACACAGGAGGAAATTCCACATCCTCCGCCCGCCTCGTTACCCCTCCCCTTTCCTTTCGTATCCCTGCTCTCCGTGTTCACCATCCCGTTTCTCCTTCTCCGTTTCAAGCTACAGGTTCGTTGCCATGCCTCTCTCCGGTTCCCCGTCACCTCCCCTTTGCCTTCCCCGTATACCTTCCCCTTCCAATGAGCCCTTTCCCTTTCTTCTCTCCCATTTCCCCTTCTCCCTTCCCCATTCCTCACCCCTTTCCCGTTCCCCCTTCCTTTTCCTCCTTTCCCTTCCCCTCCCGCATCCCCTTCCCCTTCCCCTTCCCCTCCCGCATTCCCTTCCCCTTCCCCTTCCCCTTCCCCTTCCCCTTCCCGTTCCTCCGCGCTTACCTTTCTCCGATCCCTTGGCGAGGACGGTCTCCGCTGACGTCAGCAGCAGGCTAACCAGGTCGGCATTGCGGTTCGCCGCCAGCAACGTGCCGGCCTCCGCTACAGCCTGCGCTACAGCTGGGCCCGCCACCTGCACGCAGAAATCGAGGAGGGGATTTAGGGTGTGCGGGTAAACGTATTTGAGAGGGGGAGAAGGGGTAAAGGACGCGGGGGAAGGGGGAACGGTGGCGGGGAGGGAGGAGGGAAGGGAGCACAGGAATAGCACGGGAGAGAAGGACGAGTACAAGTTACAAGTTACACTATGCGTTAACAGAAAACGTCTCACACGCCCTCCTCGTAAGAACTATAACGACGACCGTCTCTACAGTTATCTCGCTAATCTCTTCTTTCTCCTCTTTCCCCTAGCACAACCCTAACATAACTGCCGAGCTCCAAAAATTGAGAAGCCTAAATTCGCGAGTACTCAACGTATGTTTCGCAAGCAGAATGTTTCTCGCGTGAACCATATTCTGCACCATTGCCCACTAGTACCTTCAAATCTTACCGCCTGCTAACATCAGCGGCTGGTTTCCGTGGTAAAGAAACCCTCAACCCCGCACGCGAACACTAGAGCTTGGACCCGATCTGACCCGTAAGTCGGCCAATACAGCCCCACTAGAGAATTCTCTCGAAGAAGCCCATATCGCGGATCTGCACCCACCTCCTCACCACCTTCAGCCCACGCGATCTCCGCGCAGAATCGCGCCACGACGAGCGTGGGCTCCTCCTCGGATGTGGGAACCAGAGTCGCCATCTTGTTCGGCTGCCCGATCAATGCGATGACGTCCGAATTCAGACGGTAACACGGTAACCCTAATCTGGGAAGGAGAGCGAGGTTGCTCAGGGATTGACGAGCTAGAGCTCGGAACGGCGGAATCTACTAGTCTGTCGTCTGCAATACGTCAGTCTTTAATCGGAAAAACCAGTCTGACGTTGGATCAGTCTTCCGACGTTCACGGCAATGCGAGACGACGGTAAGGGGCCTCAGACACGGCTGTAAATCAGCCACGACGACCAACTATCGCCGTTGCAGGCTCTCGCAGTTGATAGAGTTAGGGCGAGAGGGAGAAAATGTTCCAACGGATTAAATCACGATCAGGGATCGCGCGGTCCCAGAATAGTGGCAGGATCAGACTGAAGCTGCTGTAGTGGCAGCAGAGGAAAGAGGATGGGGTGATTGGCGGAAAGGAAGGATAACGGAGGAGGGGGTGGTGAGGGCAGCTGCTGTGCTGGGGTAGCGTGGACGCGGGGAAGGAGGGGGGAGGTGGGGAAGGTGTGGAGGCGGATGCTTGCGCTGAGCGCCGATGGCTGGAGGGGGGACCTGTGCTGGAGTTGCTTCATAGGGAGCTGAAGCTAAGAGTGTCAAAATTGTGCCAGTACCGAGTTGCGATGTGACTCTTCTTTAGCGTGTACACATCCCTACGCTGTACATATGCGGTGTTCTCGTAACACTTCAGGCGACAGGGATCTACCTTCGCGAAACCCTTGTTTGAAGTTGTGCATGTCTTCTCAAGTGCCAGATCCAACGGCCGATGAAAAGCATTGGGAAAGTGCATTCAATCTCGATCGCACAACTGATCAAGCAAAATTGCGCGATTCGGAAAATGAGGAACAAATTCGCAATTGGGAATTCCTTCTCGTTTGTATCCACCGAGGTCAATCCCCACCCAGTCCCCAACCCAGCGTTGTGCTGGCTCATGCTTGCCCTCTGAGTACATTTACTATTTGGAAAACTCCTTTGTTAGTGTCTTCGTTTTCCCTTGTGTTCTTCCTCTGTCACAGTAAAAGCGAGCAGGCCACCTAGGATGAGCAACCCGAGCGGATTTTCCGGAATAGTAGGCGCTGGAGCACGCCGCCCCGGCGAGGCCTCTGCAGCAGCGGCTGGAGAAGGCAACGCACCTTCCAACACGAACTTCTGGGGGACAAATCCCGCATGGGGAACCGCCTGGGGCTCTCCTGCTGGTGCTGAAAGCGGCGTTGGCGGTGGATCTGGGGCAGGTGCATATGGCGAACCGGTCAGCGGAACGCCTGTGAATGCTTCTCAGTCAGCGCCGCTTTCCGCTGGGTTTCACGAGTGTTACGTGCAGAGTCGCGTGGAGGCACCGCATGTGAAGCGTCTGTTGGTGTTGCGCATCTTGACGTTTGTCCTCAGTGTGCTGTGCATCAGGTAATGCCCTACCATGAGGTCGGTGTCTTAGTGAGTCGGTAAGAACACCGACGGTGAATCTAGAAGTGGTGGTACACCAACGTGAACACCATTCTGAATGCTGTTCGTGATGATCTTCAAACGGAAGGACGGCTCGTTATAAAAATGAAAGAGCTGTTAATTTGGTAAATTGGTGTTCACGTTGACTCTGACGAGGTTGAACAACTTGTGCCGCTTGAGAAAGCATTTGAGATGCTCTGTTCGACCTTCCATTTCATTCATCATGAATGAACCTTCACACCCGACGTTCTCGTCTCTTCCCTCGTGCTTTTTACCCCGAAACAGCGTGCTACTGGGTGCGCCAACGGGACAGTACAGCTTTACCTTCTTCGTCGCCTACTCTCTCCTCTTTGCCATGGCTTCTGTCGCCTTGCTCTATTCCCTCCTCCTCGTCCTCTTCTCCTGTGCATGGATATTCCGTGCACGCCATGCGTGGGGGCGGTACATGACTGGAGCGCAGATGATTATGGACTTTGTGAGTTGCATTGACTCTCATCCTTTGACTCGCAGTTGCAGCTCACATTCTTCTAGATCTTTTGTTTTTCTTTTGTCTGGTCGTGAAAAATAGACTCTCTGCGTTCTGAACCTTCAACTCCCATCATTATTTGCTTTACACCAATAGCCAAAATACGTTGTATCGTTTTCTGTGCTGTCAGCTACTGGCTCTCCTGCTGTTCGCCGCTGCCACTGCGGCGGCGTGCCAGACGGATCAGAACGAGCAAGGGGTGACCATTATGGGACGGCGCCAACTTGTCAGCCTATGCTCCAGTGCTGACGTCCTTGGATTCGGATCGTAAGTTACATCTGTTTTTTACTTTGCGAAATCCTATGTTGCTACCTCTGCCTGCTACTGTTTGTTTTCAACCATGTGTAAGGCTTCCTCCAGAGAATGAGGTACCCTTTGTTTGCTGTTTGCCAGGAATCGCTTCTGCAGTTACATGCAAGGGGCAACCGTCTTGGGGTACCTCGCCTTCTTCACTGTGTTACCTCTCTATTGGTAAGATTTGGCGAAGCCTAGTCTGTCTGATTTCAGCCTGAATATGCTTTTACTTATTTGGTGGTTTTGTTGTCCGTTGGACTGTTTGTGTGCACATCCTTGGGCAGGATGAATAGAAAAGCCTGGTACAAAAGTTATTAGGTGGAACATGCATCACGGTATGTTGAAACACGCTACAGATAGTTTGTGGAAGTTAGTCTGTTGGGGTCTGTGGCAAGTGCAACTGGAATAGGCATGGACCTAAGCATGTGTAAGCATAGTAGGTTTGGCATCAAAGGTGATATTACAAGGTGATATATACATGCTGGATTACGTTTGTTTGAGTTACCTTACCCTGTTGGTGGCCTTTCATAATCGCGGTTCTTTACAACGGCTGGTTGCAGGTCAACAACGACGAAGCAATGTTCGGAAGTTAGGCAATTGGCCCACTCGCTGATTTTGTCTTGTCTACTTTAGAAGATTCCGGGTGTGACCCACTGGCCAGGCGGGGTCCTTTTGTTTGTTTTCCTCGTTGAGCACGCCCCGTACTTTTTGAAGGTTTCAGGTGCAGCGCTTCTCCACTCAGACCTTGTGTCAGCTGATGTGTGCCACAATTTACGATTTTATGGTTCAACACCTCTGCCATTTCGTTGTTGGCGGTGTGTCTATAAAAGATTTCGCGCATTCAACTGCCAACCCCCGGAATTGGACCGCAAATCAACCCCCCTCCATGCTGCGGGTTGTTCGTTGCTTGTTTGCTGCATCGACCCACCAACTCTCGTCAGCAGTTCATCATGAGGTGTCGGTCAGGGCTAGCAGAACGGGCAGTTTTCGAGCGCCGCTGGTTTCGTTGCGATAAGTTTGCCGTTGAAATTGTGTCATGAAAGGTCTCTACATGCGGTTGATGAGCGAAGTTTACACCCAAAAATCATCAAACACCACACCTAACCTTTTTTTTCGGGGGGCTGAACCCGAACGTGGTTCATCAACTCCGGCTTGTTTTGTTTTGGTGGATGCTATACTTTCCTGCTGCATATGGACGCTGGTTTTTTTCTAGTAGCGCACAGTGCGTCCTGGCTTCTGGAAGTTTTGACAATTTTGACGATTGTGCCTGTGTGAGCTAAACTTACCTTTCTCGCCCTGTCCAGCGTCCAGACCAGACCCCTAGGAGCCTCTGTTGTTGGTTCTCGTCGTGCTGCACCGTGCGAACAGTCTCATTGCTCCAAGGACCTGGCGGAACAACCTGACTGACTTTATTTCCTTATTAGGTCAGGTAGACCATCTGAAGCTTCTGCTTCTGACAACGTACCGGAGTCTGCACCTTCCTTGCCTACTCTGTACATTCCTTTCCAACATCGTCACTCGGCTTTCGGCAAGAGCTCATCGCACTTCCTGTCGCAAGGTTGATGGCTCGGGAAAGAAGCGCCTGGTGACATTTCAGAATACTCTCTAGTCGCGTCGTTTAGTTCGGAAAGACCCGGCTGCTAGGGAAGTCCTGTAAATTAGGTGCTTAGTCATTCCGATTGGCCTTTGCAGGATCAACCTCTCAGTCCGTAGTTTTATTAGAGTTGTCGTATCTACCTTTCGCAAATAGGGCAGCCCGGAATTAACTTAGGTCAAGTCACACCTAAGCCCGGAATTGAGTGTGCACGCAACCACGTCCAGCTCCTTTTCTTGTGTCCAATTAAAACCGCGTACAGCCGCAATGGGCGATCGGCAATGGACCAGCATGCGGGCGCCGCGTCCCGCAGCGCCAGGAACCATCCGCGAAGATGAGGAGGGCGTGCAAGAAGCTGACGTGGCATCGGATATCACAAAGCAGAAAGTGGCGGCTGCGAAGAACTATATCGAGCAGCACTATAAGCAGCGCATGCGCACACTGCAAGAACGCAAAGAGAGGTGGGTGATTGGAGCTTCCAGAAATATCCCTTGCTGAACGCGTTTAAGCGCTTTATCCGTTTCTAGTTGCTTAACGCTTGCACGCTTTCGTTTTCCCGTGCTTAAGACACGTCTGCGAGAGGCTATTTTGCTGTCTGTGGTTCCGTTGCGTCTGAGCTTGCAGGAGGGAGGGGGAGATGGAGATAACGGAAGTGGCAATTGACTTGGAGATTGAGCTGGGACGAGAATGACAGGCGCGCGGGAGGACGGAGGGAGGGGGAGGAGAGATAAGCGGGACGTGAGGAAGGTTCACGCTCGCTCGCACGCATGCGAGCAGCGCACGCGCTCAAATGCTTTGCTTTTCACTCTCCCTCTCCCACTCCCTCCCTCACCCATCCGCACGCACGCTCCCCGCCCCCCTTCTCGCGCGCGCGCGCGCGCGCAACAGGCGGCACGAGCTGGAGCGGCGGCTGGAGGAGGAGGGCGTGTCGTGCGAGGAGCAGGAGGGCGCGCTGCGCGAGCTGGAGCAGCGCGAGGCGGAGATCATGCGCCTGCAGCGCCACAAGCTCGGCGTCGACGACTTCGACCTCCTCACCATCATCGGCCGCGGCGCCTTCGGCGAGGTACGCGGGGGGAAAGGGGAGGGGGAGGGGGGAGGAGGGAGGGGGAGGGGGGAGGGAGAGGGTTGGGGCGGACGGAGGATAAGGGTAGGGAAGGAATGGAGCACAAGCTCGGCGTCGACGACTTCGACCTCCTCACCATCATCGGCCGCGGCGCCTTCGGCGAGGTGAGAAAAAGGGGCCTTCGGCGAGGTACGCGTGTGGGAAGAGGGGAAAAGAGGGACGGAAGACAGGGTGGGAATGGGACACCAGATGGGCGTCGACGGCTTTGGCCTTGGCTTGGCACCAACATTGGTATTATCGGCCGCGGGGCGTTCGGCGCGGTACGCGGGGAGGAACGGCGACGTAAGGGGCACAAGGATACGGAGGGAGAGGCCAATGAGAACTCTTGGTATGGGAAATCAACGAGGTAAGAAAGATGGGACAGACCATCTCAACAGAGATGTTGACCATAAGGGCGTGCATGTTCAGGGACCACAGAGATAAGCATTGACGACGCTTTGACCTGCACGCCCTTATCAATAGAAGCGCTTCTGTCGAGATACGCTCGGGTTACGGGGGGAGAGAGGCCTTTGAGAATTCTCAAGAAGGGCGTTTGGAGATGTACTTCGGGGCTAGGCGGGGGGTGGGATGGGAGGCGGAAGCGGGGTGAAAGGAGTGGGGAGAGGGGGGGGGGGGGGGGAAAGGGAGAACGCGGGTCGAGCTGGGCGTGGGTGACGAGTTGTAGCTTCCTCGAAGCGCCGTGATTGGCCGCCGCGGGGCCTTAGGCGCGCGCGCGCGCGCGCGTGGAGAAGGAGGGGACGGGGGAATAGGGAGGCGGAGGTGGGGGAAGGGGGCGGGGAGCGGGAGGAGAAGGGGAAATGCTTATGGGGAAGACGCGGTTGTTGTGTTGTGACGAGATGAGACGTGTATAGCAAGTGATGTATGAGACGAGATGGGGGAAAAGAATGAGGGGAGTGGGTGTTGACGAGGAGAGAGGAGCAGTAACGGGAGGGGAGAGGAGAAAGGGTAGGAGAGGAAGGAGGTGAATGGGGATTGGATTAAGTGGAACTATAGCGGATAATGCAAGGTGAGTGAACGAGACGCTGTGGCAAATGTGGTTTCGCGTCTTCTTAGTTAACCACATTCTATGTGTGTGTTCCAATTCCACTTAACCATTGTTAAGACTTGCTTCCAACTTCCTTCACATGTGCTCGTCTCTTCCCCCCTTTCCCCACATTCTCCTCCTGATCTCGTAGTCCGTCTTCCCCGCCTCCTCATGCCCTCTCACACACAATTTCCTCCACTCGTAACCAAACCCCCTTTCCCCCCTCCCTCCCTCCCTCCTTCCCCGCCCCCCCCCCTTTCCCCTCCCCCCTCCCCCTCCCCCGTCCTTCTCTCTCCCACACACACGCGCGCACATCTCTCTCCGCGCTCTTCTTTCCCCACTCGCGCGCACGCACACCCGCCGGTGGATGCGGGGCAGGTGCGGCTGTGTCGGGAGAGGGCGACGGGCAACGTGTACGCCATGAAGAAGCTCAAGAAGGCGGAGATGCTTCGCCGCGGCCAGGTGGGTGTGTTGGGAGGGGAAGGGAGGAGCTGGGAGTGCGCGTGTGATGTGCCTGTACAGTGCATGCATGCATACGTGCGTACTGATTGTGTCGGGAGAGTGCGGCGGGGAACGGACGTGTACACCATGAAGAAGCTAAAGAAGGCCAATATGCTTCGCCGCGGCCAGGTGGGTGTGCGTGTGTGTGCATGTTTCTGTTTGTGTGCAAGCAAGCATGCAAGCGTGCGTGCGTGCGTGCGTACCGATTGTGGTGGGAGAGGGCGACGGTGGACTGTGTACTTCTGGTGGTGAGTGAGACGGTGCAAGGGGGAGTGCAGTCTTGTGGTGAGTAACACGTGGTCACCAGCAAGTGTGTCCTGCTGTTGCTGTGCTGTTGCTGTGCTGTGCTGTTGCTGTGCTGTGCTGTGCTGTTGCTGTGCTGTGCTGTTGCTGTGAGTCTGTGCTGTGCTGTGCTGTGCTGTGCTGTGCTGTGCTGTGCTGTGCTGTGCTGTGCTGTGCTGTGCTGTGCTGTTGCTGTGCTGTGCTGTTGCTGTGAGTCTGTGCTGTGCTGTGCTGTGCTGTGCTGTTGCTGTGCTGTGCTGTGCTGTGCTGTGCTGTGCTGTTGCTGTGCTGTGCTGTGCTGTTGCTGTGCTGTGCTGTTGCTGTGCTGTGCTGTTGCTGTGAGTCTGTGCTGTGCTGTGCTGTGCTGTGCTGTGCTGTGCTGTGCTATGCTGTGCTGTCTAGAGACAATGCAACCTCCTTTTATCTATCCTTCTTCGCCCTCCCTCCCCCCCGTTGCACCCTGTTCACAGGTGGAGCACGTGAAGGCAGAGCGCAACCTGCTGGCGGAGGTGGGCAGCAAATGCATCGTGCAGCTCTACTGCTCGTTCCAGGACGAGGAGTACCTGCCGGGGGGCGACATGATGCAATCCCTTCTCCCCTCCCTCTTCTCCCCCCCCCCCCCACCCATCATTTCCCCTCCTCGTCTACCCTGCTTTGCCCGCCCGCCCCGCTCTCTCCACTGTTCCCAACTGCAGGTGGAGCACGTGAAGGCAGAGCGCAACCTGCTGGCGGAGGTGGGCAGCAAATGCATCGTGCAGCTCTACTGCTCGTTCCAGGACGAGGAGTTTCTGTACCTCGTGATGGAGTACCTGCCGGGCGGTGACATGATGACGCTGCTCATGCGCAAGGACACTCTTACTGAGGATGAGGCAAGGTTCTACGTTGGAGAGACGGTGCTGGCCATTGAAAGCATTCACAAGCACAACTACGTGCACAGGTGGGTGATAAGGAAGTGCGCAGGACCGCAGCAGGTGGGTGGGGTTTGGGAGCGGGCTCGGAAGAAGGACAGCTGGTTGGTTACCAGGGCTGGCTCAATCCTTCCAGGACGAGGAGTTTCTGTACGCTGCTGGCTCCATCATGTCGCTGCTCATGCGCAAGGACCTGCCAGCCCTGGTAACCAACCATGCTCCTCGGAAGGAGAGTGATGGAGTACCTGCCTGGGCGGGCGGCGACATGATGACGCTGCTCATGCGCAAGGACACTCTCACGGAGGACGAGGCGCGCTTCTATGTCGGCGAGACGGTGCTGGCGATAGAAAGCATCCACAAGCACAACTACGTGCACAGGTAAGATACTATAAAGTGCCGCTGCCGCCTTCTTGTTTGGGACCCCCCCCCCCCCCCCCCCCTCAGGGACATCAAGCCAGACAATCTGCTGCTGGACCGGCACGGGCACATGAAGCTCTCGGACTTCGGTCTCTGCAAGCCCTTGGACTGCCGGCACCTGCCCACCATCACGGAGAGCGAGGAGGACGCCATGCAGGCCGGCATGGCCGCAGGCGGCCCTGTTGGCCCCTCTCCTAGCGGCCGCACGCAGCAGGAGCAGCTGCTGCACTGGCAGCGCAACCGCCGCAGCCTGGTGCGTGGTGGGTGGTGGCGAGGTGAAGGGGGATAGGGGGGGGGGGAGAGAGAGGAGAGGAGGGAGGGGGAAAAGGGAGGGGGTGGTTGGGGAGAGGGGAGCTGGATAGGGGAGGGGGTAACGGGAGAGGGGAGCGGGAACGGGAGTGGGAAGGAGGAGGTGTTGAGGGGAGTGTGGGATGAAGGAGTGGGATGGGGTCTGGAATCAGGAAAGGGTGCAGGTTGTGCAGTCTGTTCCGTTCCTAATCTCTCTATCTCTCTCTCTACTCCACCCGCTTTCTCCCCCTCAACTTTTTTCTCTCTTTTCCAGAAACCACCATCTTTGCCCACCCTGCTCTATGTTTATACCTATCGTGCATCATCTCTTCTCCCTCCTCACCCTCTCCACTTTCCCCACACAGCCCCCCTTCCCCCTCTGCCCCTTCCCTTCCCTTGAGAGCATGTCTTTGCATCCTCGCTACTTCGTCTGCTTCCTCAGCTGACCTGTTGCCAATCATATCGCATCAAACCATCCCATGCCATCCCATGCCATCCCATGCCATCCCATCCCATCCCATCCCATCCCATCCCATCCCATCCCATCCCATCCCATCCCATCCCATCCCATCCCATGCCATCCCGCGTTGTCGTCTCGTGTCATACCTCGTTGTGCCCCCTCCCACCACACCCCACCAGGCGTTTTCAACGGTGGGCACCCCGGACTACATTGCACCGGAGGTGCTGCTCAAGAAGGGCTACGGGCTCGAATGCGACTGGTGAGAGGGGTGGCTGGTGAGAGGGAGAGACGGGTGAGAGGGGATGAGAGGGATGAGAGGGGATGAGAGGGTGTGAGAGGGTGTGAGAGGGTGTGAGAGGGTGCAATGCGAGAGGCGGTTGACTGGGCGGAGCGTGCTCTAGCAGCTTGGCTCACACTGGGCCTGTGGAAAAGCTAGTCACCATGGTTGACCTCTGCTCCCCTGCTCCGCTGTAGTGCTGCAGTGCCTCTTTGCAAGCAGTGGGATGGGAAGCGCCGTTTCAGTGGCCACTGCTACTCGCCTTGCAGGGTTGTCAAGATTCAGCTCTCTTTCTTGATTGTTCCCAAACCCCTCAGAAACGACTGTCCGCGATAGTGGCGTGGCGAAGCGATTGCGCCCAGCAAGCTCCTCAATAGTGGAGTCGCATCCTGACCGCCCCTCCCTTCCTCTTTCGCCGCTTTCCCGCACCCCCATCCACCCTTCCCCCCCCCAACACCCCCCCCTCATGTTCCACCCTTTGCGTACCCCCCCCCCCTGTCTCTCGCTTCCCTGTGCTGGTGCCCGTGCACAGGTGGTCGCTGGGAGCCATCATGTACGAGATGCTGGTGGGGTACCCGCCATTCTACTCTGATGACCCCATGACCACCTGCAGAAAGGTGGGGGGTTGACGGAAGTGTGTGCCTCTGGCAAACAAACATACATACATTCATTTTACATTCCCCTCTCATCATCCTGATTCCTTTACCTCTCTCTCTCCCTGCCCCGCCTTGCGCCTCTTCCACATGTTTGAGTCGACTCAAAACTCGACCCTTTACCTCTCTCTCTCTCTCCCTGCCCCGCCGTGCGCCTCTTCCACGTCTTTGGATCCTGCTGTAACTTACGCTGTTGACCCCTCCCGCCACTCCACGCTCTGCCTCCTGTTTCTTGCTCCAACCGATGAGCCATCTTGACCAGAAGTTCTCCCCTTCAGTGTCTCATCATGAACCCTCTTTCCGTCCCTCCCTCCCTCCCTCCGTCCCTCCGTCCCTCCGTCCCTCCCTCCGTCCCTCCGTCCCTCTTTCCGTCCCTCCCTCCCTCCCTCCCTCCCTCCCTCCTCCCTCCCTCCCTCCCTCCCCCTCTTTTCCCACGTACCCTCCTACCCTCCCTCCCTTCTGTCCACTCGTCCACCCACCCGTCCGCCCATTCCCGCTCGTCTGCCCGCCCTTGTGCGTGTGCGCTGTCGCGGCATGCATCAGATTGTGAACTGGCGGACGCACCTCAAGTTCCCCGAGGAGGCGGTGCTGTCGTGGGAGGCGAGGGACCTCATCAGCCGCCTGCTCTGCGACGTGGACCACCGCCTCGGCACCATCAGCGTCGACGAGATCAAGGTTCGATGGACAATCATCTCGCACTCTCCGCGTCCTCTTCGCCTGGTCCCCAACCTCCCGTGTCCCAACCCCCTTCTCAAACACTCCACCCCCCCCCTCTTCCCCCTCCCCTCCCCCCCCGCCCCCCCACCCCACACTTCTCCCTCCCTGCACCGATTGTTGTCTCCACTCCCCCTTTTCCCGACTTCTCCCTTCGTGCCCCGGTCCCACTGCTCCTCTCCTTGTGTCTGCCTGCGCGCCTTAGCTTATCCCTGTACCACCTCTTTGTACCAAACCCCCCTCCTTGCGCCTATCCCATCAGAGCCACCCGTGGTTCGCAGGGCTGCCATGGGACTGGCTGTCCAACATAGAGGCGGGCCGAGCAGCTTAGCTTATTCCTGCACCTCCTCCGTGTCCCCTCCCACCCCCCCTCCCTCCCCCTCCTTCTCACCCCCCCGCTCCCCCGCTTGTGCCTGTCTGTCTGTCTGTCTGTCTGTCTGTCTGTCTGTCTGTCTGTCTGTCTGTCTGTCTGTCTGTCTGTCTGTCTGTCTGTGTGAGCCCCTCAGAGCCACCCGTGGTTTGCGGGGCTGCCGTGGGACCGGCTGTACAGCATGGAGGCAGCGTTCCAGCCCGAGGTGACAGACGAGCTGGACACACAGAACTTTGAGAAGTTTGACGAGGTGCGCACTGGGGCGAGGGGGGAGGGGTGCTGGGTGAATGGGAGGGAATGGGGCGTGCAGTGCACTGTGCACCACCTCCAGCCCGAGGTGACAGACGAGCTCGACACTCAGAACTTTGAGAAGTTCGATGAGGTGCTCGCTGAGGGGGGGGGAAGGGGGTGGCGTGCGGGGTGAAAGGGAGGGGGTGAATGGGGAATGGGGGAAGGGTGAGGTGAAGTGAAGTGAAGGGGTGTTGTGCAGCACCTTCAGCCCGAGAAGATTGATAAGGTGCGCGCACGGGGGTAAGGGGTGGGAGGGGTGCGAGGGGCGGTGATACCGGAGTAGGGTGGGTATGGGGGGAGCGAATGGAGGATGGCATTCCCCCCTTTGGCAATGCTATTTTGATGCAACTTCATGGCTTTCCCTTTGTACTTCTGTGTTTAGCAGGTTTGGTTTGGCTTTCCCATCCCATCCCATCCCATCCCATCCCATTCCTCCCTGCTGTCCTCTCCCCCGCAACGTGGTGGGCACGGTATGGCAGGTGGACGAGATGCCATCGGGTCAGGGACGAGCGGGCCCGTGGAGAAAGGTGAGAGATGGTGGCCACGGCCTACCACGGGGAGGGCTCACAGTGCCATCCGATTCTGTTTGAAATGATGCTTTTATTATTTTAGCGATTTTGTTTTACTCCGGGCCCTTAGGCTGCTGTCAGCGAGACCTCTATAACTCATCAGAAACCCATGGAAGTTTGTCTGATTGGTCTGTAGTTCTACCACCCTGCTCTCCGTTCTGGTCCCAGATGCTGTCCTGCCATCCAAGGACATCAAATCCGTTAGAATCTTGTTGTGGTATGCATACATCGTGGAGATTCTGACGCTACCGCAACATGGAGATGGTGCAGGGGCCACAAGCGCACTCGCTCCTTCCCATGCCCTCCTGGTCCCATCCATCCCTTCTATCCACTCTCCACTGTCCTCCCAACCTCAGATGCTGCCATCCAAGGACATCAATTTCGTGGGGTACACATACCGCAACATGGAGATTGTGCAGGGGGCGCACTCTGCAGGTGGGTGCTTTTGGTTGGGTGCGTGTATGTAGCCCAATCTGTTGGTAGCTGGGGCATACTGAGGTGATCCTGAGGTGATACTGAGGTGATACTTGTGAGCCAACCCAAAAAAGGGACGCAGTTTGCAGGCAGGTGTGTGCTTTCAACGCACTTTCTCTTTCCCTCCGTTCTCCCTCTTCTCTCTCTACCTTGTCTTTCTTTCCCCCTCCTCTCCCCCTCCCTGTGCCCCGCCCCCTCCCCCCAGCCGCCCCCTCCTACCCATCTTATGCACACACGGCCCCTCGCCTATCGTTCTTCCTGCCTTCCCCCCTCCACACTCGTGCAAGCTCTCATTACACCCTCTTTCTCATCTTGCCCCTGTGCTATTTCTGCCATGCCATGCCATATCATGCCTTGCTGTGCCATCCGTGCATGCCATGCCATGCCATGCCATGCCATATCATGCCGTGCCGTGCCGTGTGATGCGGTGTGTGACTGACGGCGAGCAGAGCTGAAGAAGAAGAGCAAGCCCAAGCGGCCCTCTGCCAACGCCTTGTTCGGAGGTGAGCTTCCTTCCTTCCCACTGGAGAGAGAGCAGTGGCAATTGGAAGGTGCTAGTAGGGGCTGACTGGGATTGGTCGGGACTGATTGGGATTGGTATGATGCGGTGCATTGGGATTGCTCGAGTGTTGTTGACTTCCCACTGCCCTCTGTATGCCCTCTACCATTCTGACACCCCCCACCTACTCTCTTCCTTTCAGATCAAGGCGGAAGCAGCAGCGGGGGCAGCGGCAGCAGCAGCAGCGGCGGGGGCTCCAGCGGCAGTGGCCGGGACCATCACCACCAGCAACCACAGTACCAGCAGCAACAGCAGCACCAGCACCAGCACCAGCAGCACCAGCAGCAGCACCACCAGCAGCAGCACGCGCAGTATCAGCAAGGCACCGGGAAGAGGAATACGGGCGTGGAGGAGGAGAGTACGAGCGGACAGGCAGAGGGGGTGGTGGTGGCGGGTATGGCAACCAGCAGCATTCGTCTCAGTCCTCACGAGGCGGTTACCACTACTAGCTCTGCTACTGTACTGTACCATGTGTCACCCATGTGCTATCTTATTGCACTGCATTGACTTGTAGAGTACGGTAGGCTGGCCTCTCGAGTAGCTGTGTGCAGAGTGGAACGATCTCAACAGCAGGGTGCATCTCGTCTCCTCTGATTCACTGGCTGAAGTGATGTTTTATCATTCTAGCGTTACTGTTCTAGAGTGGCCCTCATGTTGCTGTCAGGCAGACCTCTAGAAAGAACTCATCAGAAACCCATGAGTTTTGTCTGATTGGTCTGTAGTTCAAGAAGTGTTACGTTACGGTACGGTATGTGTAGTTCAGCCCCGTGCTTGCTTGCTTCTTGTTAGTCCAACGTGCAGATGTTGGTTGTACGGTACCAGTTCAGAGTGCCAGTAGCTTGCATGTTGAACGGGTATGTGATGTTCAGTTCAGTGTCACACTGACATATTTCGTGTAGTATAGTGGTCTTGCTACGGTACTGTCAGAATATTATGCTCTAGCCTGTAGTGGGGTGCTCTATAGCGAGTACAACCCTTCTAGGGTTTGCTATTTGTATCCCCATTCTTACTAGTGCAACCCCTCTTTCGCCTAAACTCTCTTGCCTAGCTAGGACTCTCCTAGCTATGGCTCCTAACTATCTTTACTATCTTGACATGGTATCAGAGCAGGTCGATCCCTTTGGATCGATCCTGTGGGTGGGCTCACCACCTCGTTGCTTCCGCTGCAACTTCCGCTGCTACTCTATGTGCCGCACGCCCCGTGGCGTGCGGCAGTTTTTTCTTCCCGCCGTGCGCCCCGAGGCGCGCGGCGGTTTTCTGCCCGCCGTGCGCCCCGTGGCGCGCGGCGGTTCTCTGCCCGCTGTGCGCCCCGAGGCGCGCGGCGGGCTTCTGCCCCGTCACTCGACGCGTCGCCCCCGGGAGGCGCTGCGACGGGCGACGGGGACCCGCGCGTCGCCCCCCGTCGCCCGTCGTGGCCTGCGCGCGGCCCGTACAGCCGGCGTGCGGCCCGTACGGGCTGCGCCAGGCCTGCGCGCGGCCCGTACGGGCTGCGCCAGGCCCGCGCGCGGCTCGGGCCGCCTGCGCGCGGTTCGGGCGGCTATGCCAGGCCCGTGGGCGGCCCGTTCCTCGCTGCCCCTGCCCTCCCCACTGTCCCCCGTGCTTCTACTGGCGCCCCACCCCTCCTACAGCCCGTTCTCCTGAATTAGGGTTTGGGGGTGAGGGGTATGGGGGTGAAGCCACTGAGTGCCGTTCCCTGTTCCTCCTCCTCCTCCGTCTCCCTGTGCTGCAGCTGCCGCTGAGGGGGGGTGGACTTGTTGGAGCCGTTGGAGTGGTACTAAGGGGGGGTGAAGGGGGAGTGGAGCTAGCGGTGTAGCAGCGGGTGTGTGTCAGGGGGAGTGGGATAGTTTGGGGAGGTTGAAGGGGGTGGCCGCCGTGAAGCCAGCAGCTCCAGTCGCCCGTGAGACCGTTGCGCCAGTCGCCCGTGAGCCCGTTGCGCCAGTCGCCCGTGAGCCCGTTGCTCCAGTCGCCCGTGAGTCCGTTGCTCGTCTGCCGCTACTTTCAGCCGCGGAGCCAGTTACTCCAGTAGCCCGTGTGCCAGTTGCTCCAGTTGCCAGTGTGCCAGTTGCTCCAGTTGCCCGTGTGCCAGTTGCTCCAGTTGCGCCGTGTGCCAGCAGCTTCAGCTGCCGCCCACTACCTCCTCTCCTCTCATAGTCTCTTTCCTCCTCCTCACTTGCCCGTTGTGACTACCACTAGCTTTGCTCATAATTGTGAACTTTAAACTATTGCTTCTTGAACTTGTGCTCAGAATGTGTGGTGACATTGTGATCCACCCTGAGCTTGTACTGCTTTGCTTGCTCTGCTGATTACACCCCACTTTGGCTATGGGGGTGTGTCAGAATATTATGCTCTAGCCTGTAGTGGGGTGCTCTATAGCGAGTACAACCCTTCTAGGGTTTGCTATTTGTATCCCCATTCTTACTAGTGCAACCCCTCTTTCGCCTAAACTCTCTTGCCTAGCTAGGACTCTCCTAGCTATGGCTCCTAACTATCTTTACTATCTTAACAGGTACCGTATATGTGGCTCAACAGCAGAAATTGCAACCGGTCTCAACCCACCCTTGCAACAGAGAGCTGTTTACCACCTTGAAGCCTGTGCCTCAAATTGATGTTGAGGCATGCGGGTCAAGTTTTCCAAAGGGAAACTATATCCCAGATCCTTAGTTTCAGATTTCTCTCATATTTACCCCCAGGTTTACTCAAAAAGTACCACTTTCTGGCATTTCGCTCACGCGAGGCCCAAAGTATGTTCAAAACTGGTCCTGCGGGGCAAAGTTTTTGACACGTGTCCCCTTCTTACGATCTGACGCACATCCACTCTGAATTAACCGTTTGTAAGGGTAATTTTCGCGCCAGGAATGTTTTTACGGAAAAAAAAAAAAATAAAACCCCTAGGAGACCAGTACACATTTTCGGGAGGGATCAACCCTAAACACGAGACCTTCAAGGTGTTTAGGGTTGATCCCTCCCGCAAATGTGCCCTGGTTCCCTAGGGGTTTTATGTTTTTTCCCCCATCGAAAATTTCCACACGTTGAAGTGCGTCAGATGGTGTACAAGAGGACACGTGTCGAAAAAATCGCCCCGCAGGACCACTTTTGAACATACTTTGGGCCTCGCGTGAGAGAAATTCTAGAAAGTAGTACTTTTCTAGTAAACCTGGGGGTAAATATGAGAGAAATCTGAAACTACGGATCTGGGATATAGATAGTTTCCCTTTTCCAAACTTGATGTTGAGCTGTGTGCAAACTTGAAAGAAGTGCACTAGCAAATTCAGGGACAATCGAGTACGGTACTCTCTCCCCCCCCTCCCCCGTCAACCTTTTGGAGCATGAACAGTTTGGGGCACCGCCTATAATGGCTAACAAAAATGATAATTTTTGAAAGTGTAATGAAATGTAACACTTTCTAAAATTTTGTATTGTGAAAAGGGGTACGTGGCCAACACAGCAAAGGTAGCGCCGAAGCGCTACTCACCCTCTTTTGCCTACAAAAGAGGGACGTGGGGACATTCGTCCCCACCCACGTTTTCATTTTCAAAATTGTAGTTCTAATTTCGTTCTCGTCCACACTGGCGATAACTCTATCGCTTCCGCGCTTCACTGCCCCGTCAACGCTTCTTAACGACATCCTTAAGCGCAACCTCGCAGCGATGGCTCCAGTCAACCCGGTGTCAGAATGTATTTGCTGTCTAGCCTGCAGTGGGGTACTCTGTAATGAGTACAACCCAATTAGGGTGGTGTACTTGTATCCCAACTCTTGCTAGTGACATCATTCTCCTTCTCAACTTTCTCGACTTTCACCTTACACCCTAAAACCTAAGCTACTAAGGCACCTAAACTATGGCTTCTAAGCCAAACTCAAGCTAGTATTTTGTCATGTTATCAGAGCTTAACGCTCCTGGCCTGTGGGCCCACTTACTTCCGCTGCCCTACTATGTGTCGCGCGCCCCGTGGCGCGCGACCTCCTATTTTTCTTCCCGCCAAGCGCTCGGGGCGCGTTGCGGTTTTCTACCCGCTGTGCGCCCCGAAGCGCGCGGCGGGTTCCTCTCTCGTCGCGGCGTCCTGGGGGCCTGCGCGCCGGCCCCGAGCGTCGCCTCGTCGCGGCGTTTTGGGGGCCCGCACGCAGGCCTCTCCCGTCGCCTCGTCGCGGCGCTTTCGGGGCCCGCGCGCGGTCCCCTCCCGTCGCCCGTCGAGGCGCTCTCGGGAGCCCCTGGAGCAGCCGCCCCAGCAGCAGCAGCCCCTGGAGCAGCCGCCACTGCAGCAGCCGCCCCAGCAGCAGCAGCCCCTGGAGCAGCCGCCCCAGCAGCAGCAGCCCCTGGAGCAGCCGCCCCAGCAGCAGCAGCCCCTGGAGCAGCCGCCACTACAGCGGCCGCCCCAACAGCAGCAGCCCCTGGAGCAGCCGCCCCAGCAGCAGCAGCCCCTGGAGCAGCCGCCCCAGCAGCAGCAGCCCCTGGAGCAGCCGCCCCAGCAGCAGCCCCTGGAGCAGCCGCCCCAGCAGCAGCAGCCCCTGGAGCAGCCGCCCCAGCAGCAGCAGCCCCTGGAGCAGCCGCCCCAGCAGCAGCAGCCCCGGGAGCGACCGCCACTGCAGCAGCCGCCCCTGGCCCCTGCAGCAGCCGCTCCTGGACCCGGTGCAGCCGTGGGGGGTGGGTGTGGGGGTGCTGGTTGTGGGGTGTCGGTTGTGCGTGCCGTCCCCTCCTCCTCCTCCTCCTTCGTCTCCCACTGCTGCAGCTCTCGCTGAGGGGGGTGGATGTGTGGGAGTCTGGGGTTTAGGGTTTAAGGGGGTGCTGTGGGTGTAGGGCTAGGGTTTGAGCAGGGGGTGTGTGAGAGGGGCGTTAGGCAGCTGGGGAGGTTGAGTGGAGGCAGCAGTCTTGTCGTCAGCAGCAGCAGCAGTCCGGAGGCTACAATCTCCGGTAGTCGCCAGTCGCCCGTGGGTCCGTTGCTCGTCTG